GAATAGAATAGAATAGAATAGAATTTTTTATTGGCCAAGTGTGATTGGACACACAAGGAATTTGTCTTGGTGCATATGCTCTCAGTTTACATAAAAGATATGTTCCTTCAACTCGCAAAATTCCAAACTTGCACTGTAGTTAGTGAGGGGAATAACAGAATAATGAGTTTGTGGTAAAATACCTTGTCCCCCACCCTTTCGATGTATAGCAATTACACATAATTTGTAGTAAAATTATTATCTGGAGTACAGTACAGCTTTTGAATGAATTTCCCTGTTGTAATAACGAAGGCCCTCCAAACTAAGCCATTCAAAGGGGGGGGGGGCAGAGTTACATGCAGGCAAGGCATTCCATTGAACACATCTCCTTTTAGAGCAAAACTTCCTTGACTTTTTCTAGCTTTAAGGACTCCCTCCTCTTTCTGCTCCCACTTCATTGCTAATCCCCTTCATCTTCTATAGTGCAACTGTGGTCAGTTCTCTTCCCAATGCAAAAGCCATCTGCAGATGAAATTCTGTCACCCTCCAGATTTCAACCAATGCAGCATTCCAACAATCATCACAGCATTCTTGGTTTTTCTAAGCTGTAAACAAGATTCCGACTTTACAGTTCAGAGATAAAAATCGCATAGGGCAGTGTTTCAGTCTGCATCAAAAATCTGTCAAAAAATTATCCACAGTTCTGACTGCAGAACTGGTTTGGGTAAGCAACTTCACCAGGTCCAGATTAATTTGGAAGCTTCCCATCAGAATACAAGCCAGAAATATTTCTTCTGTCATTAAGGACATATAAAGGCTATATCGTAGTTTCCTAATGAAGCCATAATTTCACAATCCAATATAAAATGCCAACTGTACTCACATTCACTCCCCACTGGTTGAGGGAGGAACCCATAAACATAAACCAATGACTGAGTGTATGATTTGCAGAAATTCAAACTCTGAATTTCTAGGTACAACAGGAGAAATTATTGGATTCGCTTTAGATGGGCTTACTGTGTGAGAGAACTTCCTGTGTATTCTTATCAATGCCCATAAAATATTTTTGTTCACTACAGAATCCCATTACAGAGAGATCTTGCTTACTGACCTCCTCATTTAGCAACCATTTGAAGATACGACATGACTGAGGAAGTAATTATATAGCCATTCCTTGCATTTATGATCTGTCTGGCATCCCCATATTCACGTGATTGACATTTGGGCACTTTGTAAAGAGGAGGGATTTATGATGCCTCATTTAACAATGAAAGTGAATCACTTAACGACTGCAGTGGGAGGGACATCGTAAGTCTGTCACAGTCATATGTTTCACTTAGTGATGGTGATAATGGAGTTGCTGATCCCAATTGTGATCACTAAGCAAGGACTACCTTTATTCTATTCTATTTATTCTATCTTATTACCTGTACCTGTGATGGCGAACCTATGGCATGCGTACCACAGGTGGCACGCGGAGCCATATTGGTGGGCACGCGAGCGTTGCCCTAGTTCAGCTCTGGCACGCATGTATGTGCTGGTCAGCTGGGCCCACCGGAAGTCAGCAAACAGGCTACTTCCAGCCTCTGAGGGCCTCCGGAGGGGGTAGGGAAAGCTGCTTTTGCCCTCCCCAGGCTGCAAGAAAACCTCTGGAGCCTGGGGAGGGCAAAAAACGGGCCTACTGGGCCCACCGTGCCATCGCATGCCAAAAGCAGGGAAAGTGCAGGGGTGTCGCGCGCACATGCATGTGGGGGCATGGCGTACTGAATTATGGGTGTGAGCACACGTGGGTATGAGGCCCCCCCTGTGCTCCTCCCGCTTTTGGCACACGAAGGCAAAAAGGTTAGCCATCACTGACCTATACTTAAAATTACCATCCAACATAACTAAGGAAGTAATCAAATCAATTGATATCACACTATGCATGCTTTGGACCCAGTTGTGATGAAAACTGAACAGATTGTGTCAGTAAATAGGCTGTCATCTAAGGAGTTGTTCTCGTGTGAATATACATTTACTACATGTCAAGAAGCAAAATCTTGTCCTTTTTGTTCCTGTCTTAACTGAGCATTTTCACAAGAGGGAAATCCTCTTTTTTTTCCTACTGAATTGGAAGTTAATCTTTAGATACAACTAGATTCAGGGAAACCCTCTCCCCGCATATATAAATCTATAATCTGATGTGGAGCCACTCTATTTCACCCTGTGGTTGTTGTAGAAGTGTCATATTTAGTAATTTCAGAAGGCAATTTTCTTCAATGAAACGGCTCTTCTTTCCAATTGTATTTGATTTCCATGTCTAAAGAACACAGTATTTCTGAAGCAGTTTTTTTCTGTCTCAGTCATACCTGCTGTCTCGCCCAGTGCTTTTCAAAGACAAATAAAATACTTGACATTCAACGAATGGGAACTTAGTAGAAAGTAACAGCAGAGGAATGGATGATAGCTATCTGAGAGCAACTGTAATATACACAACCTGAATGCCATAGAATTTTACAGGTACAGTAGATAGACTAAAAGAATAACCTATGGAGACAACCACACAGAAACATCAAAATTGGGGGGAGGGGGGAATCAGCCTCTGAAAATTATACGGTGCCCGTGTCAAGTACCTTCCTACACATGAAATGCATATTTTACTTTAATTAATGAATTTGTAAAATTTGTTTGTTCTATATATATAGAAATGGTATTTTCTTCCCTCCCTTTCTCTGCAGATTTATCCCATGTAATTGAACAGATAGGTAGGTATCTAGCACCACTCTTTCCTGTGCTGTTTTATTTTAGTTCTTCATTTAAAACAACATTTCTGGGTTGTCAGAATTGTATGGCAGCCAGCAAAGCTTCTCAATGTGACAGTTTAATTTAAAGCAATTTTGAAATTTTTTTAAAAAAAATACATGCACAGCAGCATTAAGAAAAAGTAAGGACAATTTTAAAACAAAAGGAACAATGAACACATTTTGTATCACAAAAATCCGTAGAAAACCAGAATATTTTAAGATCTGCTTAAAAGTAAACAAAGACAAATGACAAGCTAACTTATCCAAGGATATAAATTCTACAGTTGTGGGGGTGGGGGTGGGGATGAGGTTGTGGAAATGGCAGCAGAAGGAAAATGCATCCCATGTTTCTCTTAACCAAGTTTATCTTTCTTACTACCAAAAAGAAATTTGGTTAATAGAAACCAAGAACATCAGCTAAAAGCAGTTTCCAATAGGAGGAAATAGCCTTTCAGATATTCTGGCCCAAGTCATTAGGTATCAGTTATAAACAAGTAGCTGATACAAGGTTATTTACAACTATAACAAACTCCGACCACCAGAAAATAGAAGGCAGGAGTATTAGGTATGTTCAACATACGGTATATATGATAAAATAACAACAGCAATAACACTAAGAGATATCAGAGAGAATTAAAGCTAATTTTTTACATTTTCTGATGCTTTTAAAAGTGTTAGAATACTTTCACAGGCAACTTCTGGACTGTTGCAGTTTACAGCTACTATATCTAGGCTAATATGTTCAAGGCAGCCACTAGATGGCAACAAAGAGTTAGTTTTTGCTATATCTCTGTTGCCATCTACTTGTCATCTTGATTTCTGCAGCCTAGATATGATACCACTAAATAAATGAAAGATCTCTTAAAAACATAATAAATGTCACATGATTATTGTACTAAGCACATTAATAGTGTAGTTTTCTGCAATTTCTCCACAATCAGTTTAACAAATTGTTCATGATTAAGCCCACAATCACTGTCACATTTTCAAGAAGAAGAAATTTATTAACTTGTTTTTCTTTCTATTTTTTTAGAATATGCAATATACATTAGCAAATTGCTGTTTTATTTAGCAGATCTTCTTTCCATATCATATTGATCAGTATTTGTACATGAATATTTAACATTTGACTTGCTGAAAGAACTAAATCTGAACAGATATAATTATTCCAGTATTTTTATCTTGCCTTTCTAATAGTCATCACAAAAACAATTGGATATTACTGGGACCAAATCACAAATAAATTTGCTTCCAATGATAATGGAAATCCTTAACAGATATTTTATAGGTTTACAGATCTGTCATTCTTCCTCCAATTTATCTCTCCAAGAAACTGCTTTAAATACAGCTACAACTTTAAGTCTGTTATCTAAAATTTACTATCAAACTAGCTTTTGGGATCTTTGTTTTTTTTTTTTCCTGTTGCTCAGAAGAAATTACAAGTAGTCCTCAACTTACAACCATTCATTTAGTGACCGGTTGAAGTTACAATAGTGCTGAAAAAATTGACTTAGAACTATCCCCACAGTCACATGATCAAAAATTTAGGTGCTTGGTAACCAGCATGTATTTGCAACAGAGGCAGCATCTCAGGGTTATATGATCAGCTGCCCAGCTGATTTCCAAGAAGCCAAGTCAATGGGGGAAGTTGAATTTGTTTAACAACCACATGATTCACTTAAAACCTATGGCAAAAGAGGTTGTAAAATTGGGTCTGGTTCATTTAACAACTGCCTTGCTTAGCAACATAAATTCTGGTGCCAATTGTGATCTTAAGTTGAGGACTGCTTCTACATATTTGAAAACTGAAATGCAAATGTATTTTCCTTCTTTTCTACAATAAGCATTGCCCACACTGAAACAATGGCATTATGACTGCTTTTAGAGAAAAAAAGTAAAGCAAAAGAAGAAAGGGGAAAAAATCAATTACCATACATCAAATGCACCACAAGTCCTATTGTCAAACATTTGAACTTAACACCAAGACTGTTTATTAGCTGAAATAAATAATCCTCCATTGCTTGAAGAAATATAAAGAACATAGGCAATGTTCCAACAACACATACACAAAACACAAAAGTGAGGTTTAATCCAAATATCAAACAATCCAAGACTCTACTGCCCAAAATCCATGCATACATCCATGACTACAATATGAACACTTTCAAATGCCTTTTTACTTGAGTTCCGAATAAGATCTTTTTTCTGCCAAAGCCATAAGCATAAACCAAGACTTACCAGATTGGAATTGGTGGCATTGGAATCGTCTTCTGGAAAGGGGATATAGATAGCTAAGGCCACACAATTGGCAAAAATAGTCAGTAAAATAATAATTTCAAATGGTCTGAGGAATGGAGTTAAGGAAGATAGTCGGTTTCTTAAATTGGAGCTTAAATTGTATACATAAGCTAATTACGCTGGAAGGAAAAAAAAGTTAAAAAGGATTCTGTTTAAAGAAGACTGTTCTAATTCTTTGTATTTTGAAAAGAAACACCTGCCTTTAAAGTGCTTTTTCACCTTCCCAGCCAAATTTCTTCTTAATATGTCAAAAGCACAGTAGGCCAGTCGCGTGCCAGAATACACATAGATTCCTTAAGCTTTTTTTTCTTTTTGTCTTTAAGATGAAATTTATATAATTTCCATCTTTGCTCTGCTACTTTGAGCAAACGGCTTCCACTAAATCTCTTATCTCTAACTGCATTTGCAATACAATTTCATCCTCACTTATCACTTCAGAAAAGCAACTTTTAGAACGCATCAGGGTTGTCTTTGACCTCTGGGGGACTGGGTGTGTGTGGCTGGGATAGGTATAGCTGGGGTGGGCATGGCCAGGGTGGGCGTGGCCAGGGTGTCCTGGCCAACTTTACATCACTGGTGTCCGGGGGCACCTGTGGTGGCCAAGTGCTAAGGCAGGACTTCCCTCAGATCCTCCCTCACTCTCATTATAATCTTCCTTCCTTCCTTCCTTCCTTTTCTTCTTTCCTTTCTTTTCCTTCCCTCTTCCTTCTCCTTTCTTCTTCCTTCCCTTTCCTTATTTTTCCTTCCTTGCTCTCTTCCCATCTTTTGTTCTTTTTCTTTTTCTTTCTCCTTTCTTGTCCTTTCTTGCATGCGCAAATGCAAAAGGGGAAACATTTCTCTTTTTTTGTTTTGTTTTTAGTCTGTTTTGCTAGCTCTTTGCCAGCAAAAAGCTGTTTTTGCTGGCAGTGTTGCAGGAGGCCGTCGCGGCCGAAAAAGGGGCCGGGGGGGCCTGCATGCATCCCCCAAGCTCTGTTTTCGCTGGCAGAGGCACCGCGGATCGGTCCTTTGCTGTTTCCAGGGAGGGCCCATGGGCCAGATCTAAGCACCCCGTGGGCCGGATCCAGCCTGTGGGCCTTGAGTTTGACACCCCTGCTTTTAGGGACTTTAAAGAATATAAGGATTTTAAAAAACAACTACATCTCAGAAGGGTTTACACAGGCAAGGTTACTTTAAAGGGCACTTTTAGCCTATAAAAATATATTTAGTTAGACTGCATGTCCTGTATTCTGGAATTAAATAGGTTTGTGACCTTATTCTATGTTGTAGATCTGCTCTACTCTGTTTTTTCCCTTTTGGTTGAATTTGTATGCGTGATGTTAGGGAAAAGCAAGATATAGCAATGTGTCCCTAAAATATTTTTCTTTGACCCATTTGCTTTTTTGGTAGTTCATAACAGAATATCTGCATTTAAGAGGAAAACCGGCCTAACTCTCAAAATTTGATTTTGGTTTCCCCTTTCCAAATCTGTACCCTTTTTTTTCTGTAGTTCTGTATAGTAGAGATGGATAAAACCAAAGAATCCGGCACTGCAGAAGTTCAAATATAACTTTCTTCCCTATAGCTTTGTGTTTTTAACACTTTAAGGTCAAATGCACGGATATAAATTGTAGTATGGCACTTTCTGGGAACAGAACTGTATAAAGACAACATCATGTAGAAAACAATATATCAAAGCAGGAACCTACACAGATCTGGAAATGACAGTCGTTAGATGGATTCAAATACAGTACTTGATGCAGAGGTTCAAAACAAGGATGATTTGATCAATTCTCCAAACAGAATTGATTATTGAATCTAATTACATGGTTCTGCATCAATTCAAACAAGTTGAATGTTCCTGTAAATGCCCAGAGCTCATTCAACAATTCAGTTTTAAGCTGAGTGGACCTGGACCATTTTCCAAATTAATTTAAATCAAACTGGATTACTTTTCTGAATCAGACTGATGAATTCTTATAGAATGGAGTAGCATATGTGCCCAAGAAATCAATCTATTTATTTACCATAGAGCATATGCAAAGGAAATAGGCTCCTTGCATAGGACTGTGCCACTTTTGCAAGTTAAAGACTGAAATATGGAACTGTGGAAAAGAAAGGCATTCTGAACTAGAGAAAGTAAGCAATTAACATCTGGTTCCAGAGATGCATTTTGCTCCAGTTCTTTTAGCTAGCTCGTAATTTTACATTGACCTGCATAATGACTTAACCATTCAAAATCTCTGTTCAACTATTTCCCTTTTTTTTTTATTAAAATAGATTATAATGCTTTTAAATTTCTCACAGGAACACATTTGAAAAGGTTTAAGTAGGGTTGGGTTTTTTTTTTAGGAAAAAGAAATATAAGTTAATGAATGTCCAAGAAATAATTACTATACTGAGGAATTTTACTATGTCTTGATTTGAGAGAGGCAGCATTTTTATATAAAGCTCGTTTTTATCGTTTCATAATAGTTTTACATCTGTGACACTATTTCTGCATCTATATGAAGAAGTTGGAGAAACTAATATACAGGGTTCTCAGAGGCATCTGGTTAGCCAATGTAGGCAGAAGGCATTAGATTAAAGATTCATGAGTTCCATTACTTTATATCCCAAATTAGTGGCAAAATACTGTTCAGAAATGCGCAAGCTGAGCATGATGACAGAGGCACACCATGTTTCTTCCTCCAAGGTCTGGTCGTCAGAAGCACTGGGAGATTGTCCCTTTCCTAAAATGATGGTCATCTGCAGTCTTCCAGATGGGCTGGGATTACAATAACATGGTTATTGAATCCTGAAAGTTTTGCCACAACAAATCTGGAAGGCAGGAGGTCAGGGAAAGCTATCGAATAATGTTACACACCATGTATAAATGCATGTATAATATTGTTACATATACAGGTAGTCCTCGACTTATGACCACAATTGAACCCAAAATTTGTGTTGCTAAGTGAGATGTTTGTTAAGTGATTTTTCGCCCCATTTTACAACTTTCCTTGTTAAGTGAATCGCTGCAGTGATTCAATTAGTAACATGGTTGTTAAGTGAATCTGGCTTCTCCGTGGACTTTGACAGTCAGATGGTCCCAAAAGGTGATCCCATGACTCCAGGACACTGCAACCGTCATAAATGTGAGTCAGTTTACAAGCATGATCACGTGACCATGGGGATGCTGCAACGGTCATAAGTGTGAAAAATGGTCATAAAAGTGCCCAGAGTCACTTCCAGTGAGATGAAGGTTATATAAATTTCATTAATAAATACATAGATTGCAATATAATCACCAAAGGGATTCTATTTGTCAGCAATTAATGATTGATTTACAACTATTCATTTAGCAACTGTTTGAGGTTACAATAGTACTGATAAAGGTGACTTAGGACCAGTCCTTGCACTTATGACCGTTGTAGCAGCCCCACACTTACATGATCAAAATTCAAGTGCTTTGCAACCAGCATGTATTTACGACGGTTGCAGTGTCCTGGGGGGGACGGGGGGTGGTCACATGACTTCCATTCGCGACTTTTCCCGCCAGCTTCTGACAAGCAAAATCAAAGGAGGGGAAATTAGATTTGCTTAAATGACCATGTGATTCACTTAACTGCAGTGATCTGCTTAACAACGGTGGCAAAACAAGGTCGTAAAATTGGGCATGACTCACTTAACTGGCTTGCTTAGCAACAGAAATTCTGATCCCAGTTATGGCCATAAATCAAGGACTACCTGTAAATATGTAATCTGGCAAAGGTTCCCATTTCTGAGACACTGGGAGGATTTCAGCTGTTTCGGTGCTGCGTTTTTCCAAAAGAATATTCATCTGCAGAGACTGACTTAAGCGTATTGTTCAACCATTTCCAGATCTCATCCCTGTACTCTCTGATTTTGCAACACATCCATCCGTTCAGCCAGCAAATCTCTTCCATTTATCAGGCCTTCACTTGTGCGAACTGCCTAGAGATGCACAGTTACTCAGATGCTAGGCAAATAAACAAATATCAGCTTGGCCCCCTTAAGTTAGCCATCCATCATGGCATGCCAAATATGGAGCTTCTTTGTCCAGGAAAGTAAGATATAGAATTAATCCAGAAGATCAAACAACAGTAGAGGAAGAAAAGAAAGAAAAAGGAGACGCTGGAGGATATCTTTGAATTTTGTAGTGACAAGTCCATTTTTAAACTCCCCTAATACTGAAGGAAAATTGTTTTAAATACTCTGGTAAAATGGTGAGGTTTTCTATTTATTCCTTCTGGTTTGCTTAGAGGCATACGACTCATAAGAAATATAATTTCAGAGCCACCTACATTCTTGTATTTAAATCAGAATCTGGTTTAATTTTTTTAAAAAACAGATAAAGATCTGGATCAGATCTTCATTGGATCAACTGGGTCTTTGTAACAGAGTTTATTGTTCAGTTATAGATAAAAGTCAGGAAGAGCAGATTGTAAAGGATCACAGAAAATGTCTCTTGTTAGCTAGCACCTGGTCATCTCTTGTTTCCTTACCAAATCAAGACAGAAATAATACATTTGAAGATTAATTTTAATTTTGGGGTAACCTGTTGACTCTGTTTGTGTGTGGGACCCACAGATGTTGGGTTGATTCAATTATTAGATAAACAGATTTCCACAACAGGGATATTTGTTTATGTAATATAGTATTTTTGTTAAATATAGAGGGGGAAGTTTATAACTATTAGTGCACCCGTTATGCAAGGGGAGTGGGATATATTAGGTTTTTTATGTATCTTTCAGCTTTCAGCTCAGGTGGATTTTTTCTTACGTTTAATGTTAGATGTAATTTTCTTATGTTTAATGTTAGATATTTGGTTTTTTTTTTTCTTTTTTGGTACACTTTTTTTCTTTTATTGTTAGAGTTGAATGTTTGTTAGTCTTTTTTTCTTTTCTTTGTTTTGTCTTTGGTGATAAAAGAATAAACAAACATGATTTTTTTTTAAAAAAAAAGAAGACAGAAATAATATAGGACTCGAGTACAAAATGGTCAAGGAAACACTCCTGTATGGTGCCACAGTTTCCATTCGTCTATAAATAGCCATGTCTTGACCTCCATAAATCTGATTGAAACCAATCCCAGCCTATTCCATCTGATCTGCATCTCCTCCCTCTAATCTGCAGGCTTATTTACAATTCCCAATGAAAACTTATGCAAGCTGATGATTTGCCGGTTCCCACATGATTACACCAGAAAAGGATATTTCCATTCAACAATACTGATACATGCCCTCCGGATGGGATTTTTCAATGTTAAACACAGCAGTGCCCGGGGAGGACGTGTAGCGGTCGTGGTACCCTGTTTTTTCTGTTTCCCATACTGTTGCCGTTTCCTCTGTGTGGAGCTAACGGTGGATATGGTTGCATTGCCAGCAGCACCCATCAACTTCGCCTGCCTGGCAGCATCGATAGCAGCCTGCCAGGAGAGGGCTGCACCCGGAGTAGGGATATGCTCAGGTGCCAGCCCCGTTGCTGCATTAGCATTCATGTTGGCATGAGCCGGACGGGGACTCACATAGTTGGAACCTAGAAGTAAGAAAAAGAAGAGATTGAAGATAAAACTGAGAAAGACAACACAACCTGTGGCTTAAGTTATTCCACAATTATGTCCGGCCCAAATCCAAGAATGGTACATGGCAATTCTTCCAAGCCGAGTTCTTTATTATTTCACACACACACACACACACACACACACACACACACAATGTTGCCAGACCGAATACTTTAATATCTGCATCTACAATATACTCTGTGTACTATTAGGGAGGGGCTGTCTTCACCCTCTTTTTCTCACACAAAATATCTGGGCTGGGTTGCCTCTTACTCCACTGGAATGCACCCAGGGATGGGATGCTGGGGGTTTGCAGGGGTTCGGGAGAACCTCTAGCTAAGATTCTGTGCAGTTCATAGAACCCCCAAATCCCACTCCTGGCTGGCCCTGCCCACCCCACCCCGCCCCTCCCAGGAGTCCCCACACGGCCCGTTTTGGATGCAGGTAAGTGCAGGGCACGCGCAGAGGCTTGGGGAGGGTGAAAAATGGACCTACTGGAAGTTCGTAGGGCCTCCGGAGCCTGGAGAGGCCATTTTCATCCTCCCGGAGGCTCAAGAAAAGCCTCCGGAGCCCGGGGAGGGCAAAAATTCCCCTCCCCCCACCATGGTGCAGGAGGCCAACTAGGCTACACCCACCATGGCCACACCTATCCAGCAACCGGGCAAAGAACCCCTCGCTAAAATTTTTGAAGCCCACCCCTGAATGCACCCCCTCCATCCTGGGGATCCATCTCCTCACAACATTCCCTCACAATTTTGCCAGAAGGACACAATAATTACGTTATTTCACAAGAACAAAAAATGAGGATATGCAAATTAGAATATTTTTAGAATATAATATACCAAATTCTTAGATTTTTAAATTTATTGTTGTTCTTAGCCGGATGAATTCGCAGGGGGAACACTTATGATTTTCTGCCTCAAATGACCCAATCACTTGTCTGATTTGGGCAAAGTGTATAATCTTAATTTAGGACAGATGTTCACCATTTGCTGGTCCTCATGAGACAAACAACACGGCTTTGCTCATGTCTGAGTCAACCACTATTCAATGCATCTTTATTCAGTTTTTATTCAGTTTGCAGCAGTAGCTTTGAAGATTTGTAGCTCCAGAACTTAATTTGTCACCCTGAGTCTTTTGTAATAAAAATGCTAGTGCTCAAAATGTCTACTTGACAGTCTAGGAAAAAGAGCCCAGATGTTGTAACAATCTGTCTCAATACTCCAGTTTCTACATTACACGTTAAAAAGTAAAATTTTGGCTGAAATGATGTAACATTATTCCTACTGGAATGACAATGGAAAGAAAAAAAAATTAAGTGGCAAGAAAACAAACCTGTGAAACTGGACATGCAGTGAAAGTTGACAGGACATTTCATTGCACTTTAATCACATAACTTGGCATAAGCCACTTTTGGAGGGTTGTTTTTTTCCCCCCACAGCCTTTCATAACGATTCTGGGATTACACAAAGTAACTAAAAAGTAATCCAAATTACTTCTTTTGGAATGTATTTCCCCTCCCCCCCCTTTTCCAGTTTAATTTGCAACCTGGTATTTTCCGCTGATGTTTAATTTTCTGGCGTTAGTGAGGCTAAAGAAGATTGTGTAAAGGAATTAGGTTATGTTTAGCTTAATAAAGAGAAGTCTGAGAGAAGACATGATTGCAGTCTTCCAATACTTGAAAGGCTGCCAGAAGGAAGTGGGCATCAATTTATTCTCCATTACACCTGAGGGTAGGTGGAAGCTTGTCAGAGGAAAAATCCAACCTGTAAATAAGGAGGAATTTCCTGATAATAAGAACTATTAACCAGTTAAATAGCTCGCCTCCTGGAGTTGTGGGTACTCCATCACTGGATTCCCACCTTGGGCAGGGGTCTGGATTAGAAGACCTCTAAGGTCCATCCAGCCCTGTGACTCTATGATCTCCCATGCAAATTATTAACCCACATGCTTAGCTTTTTGAGATCAGCTAATCTTCCTCATCTGGTAACTGGAAAAGAATCAAAATAATTAATTTGCTTGTTTAGGAAGGTAAGCCGATAAACCAAGAAGAAAAACAAGATAAATTTACTATTAATTGTAACTATAATTTGACTTATTATAGAGTACAGTGCTCCAAAGTACAGAGAATTCGTAACTAAATACATATGTAATTATATGTCCAAATAAAATGATGTCTGTTTATTTCCAATTCTTGGTGCAATTCAAAATGTTGATTATCACATTTAAAATGGAGTGGGACAAGATTATCCCCCACCTCCTCCCTCCCTCCCTCCATTCCCTTAAACATTGTTATCTAGGGGGACTAGAAAATGCATATATTCCATACTGGTTCCTGCCTTTTCCCCACTGATATCCCTATGCCACCATTTTCCTAGGCTTCTGATAGGATTTAAAAAGCTGGATCTTCCCATTAGCATTGGAATAGGTTGAGGTTGGAGCCAAGTGATTGTGACTGTTGATGGTTAGAGCAAGGGTGTCAAACCAGAGATGAAATGCACTTATCTTCGCTACTAGTTCGGGAATGTGAGTGCACGCGCCTCTTCTGCGCATGCACAGACTCTTCTGCGCATGCACAGAACGTCAAAAACGGGACATAATGTCCCGGTGGGTGGGCGGAGCCTCCTGCCACCGGCGCTACCGGTTTGTGCGAGCCGGATAGATCCAGCCAGATTTCACTGCTGTGTCAAACTCAATTTCATTGAGGACCACATCAGGGTTGTGTTTGAGCTCGGGGGGCCAGGGGGGCATGGCCAGCTTGATGTCACTCATTGAGGCTCCATTTTCGGCCACAATGGCCTCCTGCAGTCCTTTGCCAGTGAAAACGGAGCTTGGAGAGGCCACCGGGCCCACCTGGACTCCATTTTCGCTGGCAGAAGCACCACAGGTTTCCAGGGTGGGCCTGCGGGCTAGATCTAAGGACCCCACGGGCTGGATCCAGCCCGCAGATCTTGAGTTTGAAACCCCTGGGTTAGAGAATGTCGCTGAGGTTGCTAGGATTTGTATTTTGTCACTGATTTTATTAGCTCTCTTGGTATTATTGTTGTTAAATTATCCATATACATAAGATGGGTGTCCATACAAAACTTTTAAATAAACAAACTATAGTTTTCTAACCGGAATATTTAGATTTCTACCATGGGCATGAACATGATTTTATGGAAATCAATTACACAAACAATTTTTTTGTCTCTAAATTTGAAGATGGAAATGTACTAGTATATTGATCAAAGCATCTTTAATAAACATTCTGTTAGCCTTAATTGTCAAATATACAAGGAACCTGTCGACCCTCGGTTGGGTCTCGCCATCACTGGGGAGGACGACAAGGAGGGGCCTCGGTTGGGTCTCGCCAGAACCTTTATTCTTCCAATATGCCATCTTAGCTTCTCTTCAGTACTTTGCCACTGTCTTATCTGATATTTTGCATTGGTTTAAATCTGGTAACGTTTCAGTTCTGTATGAAAAATCCCGCACATCTGCTTTGAAGTCAGCTGCAATACTATTGAGCACGTCTTAGAGCAGAGAAACGGCACACTTAATTTTTAAAGAGAGAAATGTCTAGTTCAAGCTTACAAGGGAACAACTTGAATTATAATTCTGTAATCAAGCAGAACAAGAAGCATTTCCAATATTTTTTTCACATGCAGGTATCCCTGCTTCTCTTTTTCACTGGTGGCTGGGGGAGGATAGCTGTGAAGTACTGGCGGGAGCAATGCCCTCAAGCCACTCTCGATTCTTGAAGCATTTTTGGGATGTGGTTTGCCCTTGCTTCCTCCTTCCTAGGGCTGAGAGAGAGCAATTGGGCCAAAGTGCCTCAGCAAGTGATATATATATCACTTCAAACCTTGAAGTAACTTGATTTGGATTCTACTGATAGTTTTCATGTAGGACTACAAGTCCTATCATAGAGTTCAGAAGCCAGCAAATGGGAAAAGAAACAAAATAGAGGACTGTGAGAGTGCAATGACTCAACAGTTATCTTAAAAACAGTAAGGAAATTAGAAAAACTTCACATTTTAACTACTTAGGTCATTTCAGATCAAAACTGACTTAAATTCTCCTTCAGGTCTGATCCTGCACATGATCATACTACTACAGAGGAAGATAACATCTGTTCCCAGAATCTCCTCTCTTGCATACCTTCTGCCTGCCTGCATCATCACCTCCCTGGTAAAATGTAAAATTGCAAACGATATATGAATCAGCAACAGCAGGCTCCCTTAAAATGTCTTCTTCCTCTTGTCATCCCTTCTTTCTTACACACAATGGTGGCATGGAAAATAACATTCTTTGTAAAAACAAAAAAAAAAAGATGAATGTTTTCTGTTTTTTTAAGGTTATATGTATTTATAAGGTAAAGGTAAAGGTTCCCCTCACACATATGTGCTAGTCGTTCCCAACTCTAGGGGGCAGTGCTCATCTCCGTTTCAAAGCCAAAGAGACAGCGCTGTCTGAAGAAGTCTCCGTGGTCATGTGGCCGGCATGACTAAATGCCAAAGGTGCATGGAATGCTGTTACCTTCCCACCATTGCATTTTTTATGTGCTTTTGAACTGCTAGGTTGGCAAAAGCTGGGACAAGTAACAGGAGCAACTTTCCTACTGCAAAGAAACAATTCTGGTACTGGCCCTCATGAACGTAGATTTTCTACTCAACAGAAATCCACACTCAATATTAGAGAAGAGAAAAGGATATTATAGAGAATGAGCTCAGCTAGGACAGCAAACAATTTTCTCAGCAGGTAACAGACCATGTACTAGAGAATCACATTTTGTAAATTACAAGTTCTACCTCTACGTAAACTAACCAGTCTCTAGCTGAAGTGACCTTGCTCTGGAATTCCTCTATCACACAATTTGAAATTATTGTAGAAGTTTTTGTTCAATATTGAACCAGATCATGCCTCCCGTTGTGGTATATTTCTAATATTTTTATTATAAAGATAGATGGTCTGTAGATGTAGTTATAAGCCT